ACAGCTTAGTATTCGGGTAGAAGGTAGGAAGTATTTTGTAATAAAACAGTGTTCTAGGAAGAGATTAACAACCCTCTCGAATAGGCTGGGTGTTTTGGCTATTTTGTAACGTTTTCCTACTCTTATTATCAATTCAAATAGTAAGGAAGTTGGATCCTTGCAGCAGAATATCAATGAGAGAGCTTCTGGATGGCAGTATCAGAGAGCTTCTATGGCTCCTATATTAGCACCTGCTCTAATAAAATGCTTTGATTGGTTAAGTTTTCTTTTGATTCCTCTCTCAAACATTTCCTTTCCATTTCTTGATATTCCAATGTTGCAGAATGAACTCGCAATTTTGGAATTCATTCACCTGTTGGTTGAAACCATGGACCGCCATTTCGGGAATGTGGTAAGCCCTCGTGTTCGATCTGAGATTATGTCTTCCGAACTTCAATTGCTTTTTCGTTTCTTTTGGGAGTTCATATCCTATATGAGTTTCCTTTTCATCTATCAACGAAAAAAAACTTTTTCTAGTTCAAAAGAAATCTGAGATTATGAGTTCTGAATGATGTTTCCTTCATGGATTTTACTGAATTGCCCGATTGACTTGCAGTGCGAGCTAGATATAATGTTTCATCTTGAGAAAGCACATTTCATGCTGGAAGAGATGGTGATGAATGGGTGTATTGTAGAAACAAGCAAGTCAAACATTTTATCCCCAATACAACTGATGGAGAAATCATCATGAAAAATCTACGAATTGTAATGTTTGGTGCAAAATCTTTGCTGTCGTTATACTGTACGTACTCCATTAAAGCTATCGACGTGATGTTAATGAATTTATTTGATTGTGCTCTGTTCAGCCACTTGGTAAAATGCATGTGATAGATCTGAACATCAATCCAAGCCCCTATTGAAGTTTAATCCATTAACTTGTAGAGTTTCTCAAATTGATTTTTACAACTTCTAGGTTTTAGGCTGCTTGGTTAATGATTTGATAGTACAATTTTTAATACCAGGGTTTCAATCAGAGATAGTTCTTTTATGTTGATGAGAATAGGTTTGTCTCTGAACGATTCTTTTTCAGTTAATAACTTATTTTTGTTCATTTTTTCGTTAATAATTTTAATAAAAATTAAAAAATTATAATAATGTTGAATTTCACCACTCTCTTTCTAATATTATATCCTTAGATATTTAAAAAGTCAATTAATTAAATGACATTATTCATATATTTTATAACATAACAAGCTTTCATTTTCATCTTTAATCATATTTCTACATAAATTGTAATTTTATTTATAAGAAACTTATAATTTAGTCTATGAAATTTTAAAAATTAAAATTTTATCGATAAAATCTTATAAATAAATTTCAGATTCACACTATAAACTAATCCACATTTAAAAATAATATATATTTAATGATGTGTTCTTAATTTTTTTATATAATAATTAATTATTGTTACGGTCAAACACATAGGAGAAAAACAATTAAATTTTTAATTTGCTTTGGTGGGACGCAATTTCTTCCGTTACATTTAGCGAAAAAAAGAAAGAAAAAGAAAAAAAGAACTCATTTAATGTGGAGAAATGAGATAATAATACAAGAAAAATGAAGCTTATTCATTCAAATGTGTCATCCGTCGCCGGCCGGCGGTAGGCATCGTTAATTATATCTGGTCACCATCGGAGGTTTTCCGGGAAGTACTGCAAATCCCAATAATTTACACCATTTAGTCCCCAAAAATATTTGAAAAATAAAATAAAAAAGGCACAGGATTTTACCTTGTTAATTAGGGAAACATAATATGGTTTAACTTTTTCCACGTCAACAAGTTCTTTGCTCTTACTGTAGAGATCATACTTGCTGAAGTTCCATAAATATATAATTAGTTCATAATCACTCCAATTATCTTGGATTAAAACAGTAATTATCTTTTAAAAATAATTACTTGAATATATGGAGCCACTTCAAATTCTGGGCATCCTCCTCGTTCATTAAGTGTTTGTAAGCTCCAGCTTTATGTAAGGCTGCAGGAAAATGAATTCTTTTTAGTTTCAATTCTTTTTTGTTTTAATTTTGAATTTTATTTGCTTACGATAAAAGGAGTGGTATCTGATTATGAACAACCCAGCCGAAGGCAAAGTGGAGCCATTTTCTTTAGCCACCTGCAAAATTTACATCACAAATCATTGTTAAACAAACAGAGCTTCGAAAATCAAAGCTTTACCAGAAAAGGGGCACAAAGAATGGATTTGGTACCAAATACATATAATCATCATGGCCCCATGATATCATAACATTATCAAGTCCGCAGCCTTCGGTGTAAATCCCATTTTTGGTGTTATAAGCTGGATTCTCCGAATCAGGATTCTCCTTGAAATACTGAAATTAAAACCCAAATAAATTAGTTTTATTGTTCGTAATTTGAAGGAAAGAAATCTCGAATTTACAGAATTATGAACTACCTTGTGATGAACAATGGAGCTATCAAAAGCGCAGCCAAGAGGGTGTGTATCACCTGCAAGAACAAAACAGGGGAAGATGGATTTGAGTGTTGCTGGGAAAGAAAATGACAGAAAAATTATGGGGTTTTGTTGTTTGTTCTTACCCACAACAGCCCATTGAGGAAGCCCACCAAAGCTGGGAAGAAGAAGCACTTTTCCAAGATCTAAAAACAGAGCATATCGTTACAAAGTGAAATAGAGAGAAAACAGAGTCGAAGGAAATTTGATGGTATAATACCATGGATGAGCGCAGTCAAATGCAGCCAATCTTCATCAGGATAATCCTTTCGAATGGCTTCAGCAGTCTGCAACAAATGCTGAATTTGGGGTTCATCCAAATCAGGATCGCTATCATCAACCACATCGTTCAGAAGCTCACAGCATTCCCAGATACTCATTTCCACTCGATCCATTTTCTTGTACGTTTCTCTCATCTTCTTCACGTAATCGTACGTTTGATGAATATGATTCTGTTTATAAAATTCCTCCACTCCCTTTTGCCTCTCGCTTTCCGCTTCGTAATCTCTGAAAGAATGCCCGAAGGCATTCATTTCCAGTGCTACAAATCCCTCCTCCGCCGCTTCCGTTCCATTTGGTACCACAAATCCGCCGTCCAACACCAATTCATTCGGCTCTATAATGCCAAGCTTCTTCTCTTCCACTTCTGCAAATACAAGAACATTTCGAACCCTCAAGAATTCGCTGCAAATTCAAATGTTTATGAAAAGTAAATGGTGAAGAACAAGAAGATGTTACCAAAGCGAGGCTGCTCGATGAGAATCGTCATGTTCTTCACAAGAATCAAAGAATCCAAAAGAACGGAATATGAATGAGATTCGGAGTGAGGAGAATTGGTGGAGGGGGTTTCTTTATACTCACCAAGCTGTCCTTTCCATGACAATTTGAAACTTTTGGAGTCCTTAAATGTAAACAATTTTTTTATTCTTTTTTCTTTGTCTTTATTTTCAAGATATTATTATTTTTTTTTTAATTTACCTCGTAAAATATGGTTAGATGATCGATCGGGCAGCACAAAAATAATGAATAAATCTTTGTGAATGTTTGATTAATCCACAGTGTGAAAGTTATCTTATTTATAATCAAATAAATTACGAGAATATGAAAATAGTAACCTATGATAATAAGGCAAATATTAGATATTTATCTTATAATAAAATATCAAATATAATATATAGGGGAAACTATAATTTATTACTAAATATCCTTAACAATCTTAAAAACCATTTTGAACCAATCTCTTCACTGCAAGATCGTGGTTGATTCTCGACCATATTTACCGTAATCCACATATCCAAAATCTTGTTTTTATATTTTTTTTTTACCATGGTTTAAAAAAAATTAAAAATAAAGTTATGAAATAATGAAATTGAGTAAATTTTCACATTTTTTATTTTAAAAAAACTGTAGGAATGTCCTGAACTGCAAAACAAGAAATTGAAAGGGAAAGGATGAGTCAGCAATACGTGGATACAAATCGGATAAGTCTGGGGACAGTAACAGAAATCATACGCTTTGACGCGACATCTACTCATTGCTGACTAATCTTGTTTGACCTTCTTCTTTTTAAACTAGTTGCTGAGCTGTATTCTGCCAATTCCCCACCTTTCCTAGCTGTTCGATTGACTACATTCTTGGAGCTTTCAATCGACGTCCAGGATTTTGCCACCTCATTTCTATTTATTTTTTATCAACTTGTTAAATGTCAACTTTCAAGGTAGATATTTATGTGCAAAAATACCAACCGACCTTATCTATGTCGAGCGTTTTTTCTATAATAAAAAATAAAAAACACTCGTAGATATTCATTCATCCTTTATTTATTTATTTTATTTAATAAAGGAAAGATTTGAATATCTAATTTATTGGTTCAAAATTAATTAATAAAGATATTTCGTACCCTTTCGAGAGAGGAGATTTTCTCGAGGCCTCTATCTCTATTATATTTGTACATTATTACTTTATTTGTTTATGCATCAATTTATTTTATTTTAATAAAGTAAAAATATTAAATCAATTATTACATTTAAATTATATTTAAATCGATGTAAAAAAAGTGGCAGATGTAATTAATATTGTTTATTATTTATATCACCTCTCTACCCTCAAATTTATTTATTTTTATTATTATTTTAGCTTTTTAATTGAGTAGGTGGAAAACCTACACCATGGGTATTTTCGTCTTTTTCTTTTTTTTTGTAAAGTCCAATGCTTTTAGCCCTTTTGAAGTTGGGCTATTTTAATTTTGGTATTTGTCAGGTTGATGAAGATGTACAGAGGCATCAAATTAGGCCCAATCCAAATCTGACTGCAAAAACGTGGCCCATTACCATTTATAGGCCCAATCCAAATCTTCCAAATCTGACTGCAAAACGTGGCCCATTATAATTTATAGGCCCAATTGAGTAGGCCCAAAGTCTAAAAGTTATTGGTCCATTGGCTGGCCCTGTTTTAATTGTCTATATAATCTCATCCGACCATAGCCCTAACTCCTGATTGCAATCTCCTCTGCGGCTTGTCATCGGACGTTAAGCACCAGGAAGGTACCGAAGCAAGCAATTTGCCATGGGTAAGCGAAACCCTAACTTTTCATATCGCGACCTTCGATCATTCAAAGTGTATTTAGTTTTTTTTTTTTTTTTTTTTTTTTTTTTTTTTTTTTTTTTTTTTTTTTTTTTTT